TTTCAAAGACACTACGTGTACTTCTCTTTGCTGCAGGAAGCCGCTTATCAAAGTGGTTCCCAACCTGGCATTGTAAGTCAAAGATTCTTATTTTTGAAACTTTACCTGTGACTCTGATGCAGCCACAATTCTAAGCCAGTAGTAGCACAATATTCCAACAATTGATATCTTCAGGATGATATTTCTAAAAAGAAAGTAACAGTAACTGCACTGATAGCTGGTCCAAAGGAAACTGGAAAGAATGATGGCAGGATGACCGTTGGTTACATGTTGTTACCTTCTTTATAACAACAAAAGCCCTGCAGAGTGCCAGGACTCACAGGAGCTCTCCTCGGAGCTCGGGTGCAGCACTATTCTATTGTCCTGGCAGAAGGGGAGCTGGGCATGACAACCTTGGAACAAGCCTCTGCTAAACAGGCTGATGGGTGTGGGCTCCACAGGGGAGGAAGGTCTGAGGAGCACCAGGGCTTCCATGCTGTTAATTCCATGCATCTGTAGTGAAGCAAGACCTCCTCACTCCTCTCTCCCCTTCCTTTCCCTGGGAACAACAGCCCAAGGGCCATCTACAGAAGCTACAAACAAAAGCAAGCCCAGTGTTACAGCGTGCCTAATTGAGAGGGAAACCATACCCCATGCTCGTGCAGAGATGTAACACTCCAGAAGGCTCACAGAAGACAAAGAAAACATGGAGGGAAGAGTGCATAGAAGCCTTTGGAGAAGATGAATTCTCCTCCATAGCTACCTACTTCCCACCACACCACCTAGACACAGCTTGCTGTCAAAAAGAAGAGTCAGCCAACTGCAGCGAAAAAGCACTAAGAGGTGGTAGCAACAAATACCTGATAATAGTGATATATATATGGCATACGGGAGTCTGAAATCTCTCCAGGTGTCCAAGCCACGAGTAGAAGAACGGGATCAATGTGTTAAGGAGAGATGCGACAATAGGTAGCACCAACATGGCAGCTTGGCTCTCCAGGTCATTTTTATACCCTTTCGCAAACAGCTTAAAGAGGAAAAACAAAAACATGAAAACAACCAAACGGCCCCAACTTAGAGCCTTAACCAAAATGCTGCCCCAAGTTGTGTCCACAGAGAAGACACTCAGCACACCTCCCTGTATGCTCTCACGTTAGAGACATGTTTTATGGGCCCATGTCCTTACCTTTAGGTTATTAACGGAGAGGAAGTAAACACCAGCACAAGCAGCTACTGCAGTTCCCAGGGAAACAACCCAAGAAGCAAGATGAATTACAAAACGAACAACTCTCTCTCTCACAGAAAAATGTAGACCTTCTCGGTTTAATTCACTGAGGTATTCCTGCAAGAAAATAACTCCTAATGAAGAATTCCTTAGTCAACAGCATAAAGCAAAACTTGTTTCAAGTAACTACTTGAGAGATTGAAAGGTTATTTCTCTAGAAGATAGGCAGAGTAATATCCTAGGGACATTTACTGGACAACTTTCTGTTCCGATCCTAGAAGTCTTATCTCTTGACAGTTACACTGTTTTTCACAAGCCTGCCTTTTGTTTACAAAATGGTTAAATAGCAGGAAAGAAAAACCGACGAAATACTCTGTTTGGCAAATACTTAATAGTCACAGACGTTCATTAGGTAGAAGAGAAGCACAAAAACATTTATATGTAGCTTAAAGAGAACAGAAAAACAAGTAGCTAAGCCAACTCCAGGAATTCAAATCAAACTAAATTTAACAGTCAGGAAGACTTAAGTGTATTATGAACAGGACTAGCACACTTCAGTCACTCTGCCAGAGACTTATTTATGCATACGAATTTGTGTATGCACATACAAGTCTCTGGCAGAGTGACTCACACATTCTAGTTTTGTACCTTTCTACCCTTTTGTACCTTTATTTGTGTGCTGAGATTCTTTTGTTTCAGCTTCACAGCTTTTTCATTCGTTATATTGAAGTCCCAAGTGCAGAGAAGTTTGCTAGCATTTCCAGAGAATGTCCGAAGGTTAATGAAGTTCCTGCAGAAGAATTTTGCCATGCTGCAATGAAAATTAAATTTGTGAGATGCATAACGGGGAAATATATCAAGCCTGTAGAGCAGGGCAAGAAGGGAGATTTGCCAGTTTTTCTATCCCATCCCAAGGCTACTGGACCTATGTTTGAGCATGTGACATAAGACAACATGGAAAATAAACTTTTATGTAAAGAAACAACTCTCACATTTCCTTCTCCTAGTTGCTGCTGCCAATCTTTACCTCTGGAAGGCCACATCAATACCAAAAGATATTAGGAGCAACAGCTTACAAAAGGAGGATCGTGATATTCATTGGTTTGAACTGGGATTCTCTGTGTGTGCCTTACTATTTTGCAGTTATTCTTCATTTGTCTAATAAAGGTTTGACTTCTGGAGACTGTCTTTTGAGCAGAAACTTCTACTTAAACTCTAGACCTGGAAATAAGAACTTACACATACATACTCAGGTAATGATTACTGCCAACCATTTACAGGGTGGGTTTTTTCAGTGGGACTTTTTTTTCCCTTAATGTAAGTGAAAGAAGAATATATAGTTAGCTTACCTGAACAACAAGATAAGAAAACAGATGACAAAATATATTCCAACGGTGAAAATATAGGCAAGCTGCATGTTGTAAGACGGACCATTCTCTATTTTACTGATTGTAGCATTGGTGTAAAAGCCATAGTAGAGTACTGTTTGTTGAAAATAACCCTGAAAAGATATGACATCATTCAGAATGTTTGCTATTACCTGCATATGGTGGGAAGTACCATCATGTGAAGCCCAAGTAGTGGAAGTAGGAGCTGTCCCAGTCCCTACTGTGAAATCACAGGTGTGATTAGATATCTAAATATCAGGCCCTTTGTTTTCCTTCTATCAGCTAAAATCTTCCATAGTTTTGAGAGCTTCTACAGATATAGCAATTACATGCATCCTTCTTAAGACTCACGTGGGATGGTCACGAGCATTCGGCACCTTTGCAAGATTTGGTCGTTTCTGAAAATTCCTGAAGAGGGAAAGGCTTAATTGCTTCTTTCTTAGGAGCAAATTTCTGTACCAACAAATTGTATCAACTATGAAGGAACAACGTGACATTCAACACATAATAGCTGAACTGCTGCAATGGTGACTGTACAGTGCAAAGTTAAACAGCATTACTACAAAACACAGCACTTAAAAAGCAATTTTTGAAGGAAAAGGCTGACGCCTTTCCTTTTTAGAAAGATCTCTTCTCAACTAAGCATTAGTGAGAGCAGAGTCTTGTTTATTAACTAGAGAAATCCTTTAACAACAAGATTGATGCATTTTTTTTACTGCAAAGACAGAAAAAGAAAAAATAAAAGTAAGTAATCTTCTCAGATCACTTAGTCAATTAATACTAGTCAAGTTAGAGCAGTGCAAAAATCTTCCTTTAAAAACAGCCTGGGACTTTATTCCCTGAGCGTAAAGATCTTCACACAATGAAAAGATTCTCCTGTTTCCAACCCCCAGTGAGTTCCGCAAACCCCCAGTGAGTTTAGTAGTTTGCCACAGAGAGATCTGTGTGCTCCTTGGAAGAATAAAGCTTTGGAAATAAGCAAAATTCATAGGATCACATATGGAAATATGCAGTGTATCTTCAAAGGAAAATTAGCATGGGAAAAATGTTTTGCTGAAGACTATTTTAGCTATCTTAGGAAGGCCTGGCTTCCTTGGTGTGTCTTTCTGAAAGTGATGAAAATCTTGAAATACTGCTCAACACAGCAGTTATTTGCAGTGAGAGAAACGCATCAGAATGAGTTCTGTTTGTCTCACTCTGAGTCGATGTTTGTTGCAGCTTCTTTTACAAATATGTACTAAATATTACTTCTAGTAATGTAAAATTCTAACTCCACCTCTTAATAAGAAATACTAACTTCTTTACTCTGTCATGAGTTTTAAAGTAGATCTGTTGCACACAGTACCAATAAAAACCTGTTGTTATATACTTACAGCTCCAGTGAACAGTTCCAGACCAGTGAATGAAAGGTTATTTGGTTCTGCTGCAATAAACTGAGGGATTGTGATGCAACCGAAGTTTATTAGGAATGAGAAGATGTTGAAATTTAGCAGCCACTTCAAGAAAATAAAATAAGAAAGAACACTTGTTCCAAACTCGGCACCAATGATCTTCAGAGTCTTGTGCATGAACCGCAGTAGGTGAAAGTATTCTGACAAGCTATTTCCAAATCGCCGAAATGACTGGAGCGCAAAAGAGGAGAGAGACATAAATCTCAGCAAGCAGTCTTAAACAGGACTCAAGTTCACATAATAAAGCCTCACTTTTTTTTACAGTTCCATTGGGATGATAAGAACGGATTTCTCCTGCTACATGCACCATAAGATGCTTAGCTGATGTTCCTAAGTGCTACCATGATGCAAGTCATTATTAATGAACACTGGACCAATTAACTGGTTCTTTGGTAAGCAACATAAAGCAAGAGACCAGATACCTCTGTAGACAGCGATAATGTTGCAGCTGAAGCCATTTACTCTACTGTGAGTGACAGAAGTTTCTGACGCTTACCACTACTATTTCCTGCAGACAATCTGTACAGCAGCGAAGTCGAATACTCCAGTGTCTTGGTTTTTTTGTTATTTCTTTAAGAACTTTATTCCTGTGGAAGAGCAGGGCAAGGGGTAACAAGCATTGTAGTACAGGTTGTAGTTAAAACAAGAAGCCAAAGAAGCTGCTGCAAATACCATTTCATATAAATGGAGTTAACAAAACATGGAGATGTTCTCCTGGTTCTTTTTCTACTAGCTGATACCACAGCTCTTGTCCATGCTACGACAGTATGTTCTAACTCTTCCACTAACTCACTCTGGGAACTAAATTTAGGAGACAAAAAGATGGTTGAGACTGTGTGGTCTCTTCTCCATTTTCAATGGCCAACATGCAAGTTTCCTTTGAAAAGGAATCACAAGTCATCATTCACAATCAAATCTCAAGGCTTTGATATTCTGTTTTATATTACAATGAGAGATTTCTCTCATCCAGAGAAAGGACAATGACCCATCTTTAAATTATTTTCCCTTGCAAGATGTTAACGTTTAAAAAGTGCATTTAAAAAGCACTTTCCATTCTTTCAAAGTGACAAACCACAGTTGAGCAGATGGCAAGCAGCCATACTTGATAGCTAGATGTTGAAAGTATAGTGTTTGTAAAACTAAACAGATAAACTTTTATTTTTACCTGATCTCTCTCTTTTTTTTCATGGTCTCTGGCATCCTCTGCATTGTTTTAATCCTTTCACTGGTGGACATACTTGCAAGATTTCCAACTAACTCTGCATAAAACCCATGAAAAATCCAAATTTTGGGATGATAATAATACCGTAATTCTTATACAAAATCTGAAATGGATATAATAGCATTCCCCGTTTTCACTGCTACCAAGGTGTGGCAAGTTCTGGGGGGTATTATTAAGTCTCAGAATATCCTCAGCTCCATCAGTACTCTAATACAGATGTAAGTAAGTAGTACAATACTGGATGTTAAAAAAAAAAACAAACATGACTTGTCTGATGCTTGTTTGATGTTAATACAAAGAGCTGCAATATAAAGGGGAAAAAACCCCACCTGACAAACTCCAAGATTCTGGTCTATTGTTTGATCACTGATAGTTACATTTCTATGATGCTACATATTGACTTGAATATATTCTATAATTTGAGCTGATTTTGGTGCCAAACTTCGCACTACCTACAGAACAGGCAGAACTGTATTACTTGACATTCAGGCTGTTTTGACATAGTTGGAATTTGATGCTAATTCCAGACACAGTGACTGAAACCAATCCATTAGCTGGTCAAATTCTAACAGAGAGTGGAGCTTTTCCTTCTACAATTTAACATATATTCACACTGCACTGTGCCTCATTTATCATGGGATTTTAGTGTGCTAGTACAGTATAAAAGATTAATCACTAGCATTAACACAAAACCAAGTTGTTCCCATGACCACAGAAAGACTGCACATGCAGTTCTGGTGATAAACCAAGAACAGTATCAACCACACCATCCTTGTGCAAGATGCTACTTAATATCGACCCACTTATCTAAACTCCTACCTTCTTTACGCGCTGGATCCATTTCAAACAGGCTGGAAGAAGGCATGAAGATCTCATCAGGTGGACTTCTGCTGCGTCTCCGAATAAAACTATCTAAATAACATGGACTGTTTAGTAAGCCCAGATACTCCTGACAAATTGACTTAAGAAATTCAAATTTCACTTTCACAGAAACAACTTAAAGTATACCCTTCAACCTCACTACCTACATGCAAACATATACTCTCCCGCTCACTTCTTTCCTGGTCACGCTTGACAACCATATGCAATTTTTCAGCTACATGTTGGAAAAGAGTTCCTGAGCCCAGCCTTCAGCTATCATGGAAAACTTTGTCATCTAACCCATTCATAAACATGCACATGGATTATTCAAGACTTTCTTCTTAGAAGAAGGGTCCTTTCTTTAAAAATCCTTCCACTGACTTCAGAGGGATTGTTTTAGAACCACACTCAATCATGCTGAGTAAGTTATATGTACCAGACTCCTATTTCCCTAGGGCCAAACTGCAACTATTCTCTCAATCTTCTTTCATCCAATTCAGACACGAATGACTAGATTCCTTAAATGCATCCGCCTTCCAGCTATGAAGCAGATGAGTTTAGTGACAGCTTTCCTTGCCTTGCCTTCCCAGTAAGCTAATGGCCAGTCTGTGCCATGTCACATCCCCCTTTTGAGCTCGATCCCCTGGTGTGGAAGGCCCCAACTGACTGACGCACCTGTTAGTTAATGCACAAGTTACAGGCTCCATCACCATATTTACTAGTTAGATCTAATTTAGATCTAACCCCAGTGTTAGTGTCGTTTCCACTTTGAGTCAACTTCCTTTGTAGCAATTAAAAAAGAATCAGAAAAAGCATCCGTGCCTCCTTGTGAAGGTATTTCTTAAACTTTCAGCACCCAGACGCTTATCCTCTAGTTGACTACATTGGAAACGCACTCTCTCCTTACTATCAGGTATTAAAAGCCATGCATGACTGTTCATATTTGGAAATGTCCTATTTCTGTGGTCACTCATGGAGTGAGGCATTTCCAGGTACCAATAGAATTGTTGCTTTTTAATTAAGATACAGGGGTTCGCCAAATCACGTCTTAACTTAAAGACCATGTTCTTAAAGATGAAAAAGTGAAAAAAACAAGAATCCCTCACTTGGGGGCAGAGAGAGATGGTTCTTTCAATGCATCTAGGTGACAATTCCAGAAAAGAACTCTGAATTACATTCCAAAAGCAGTCGACAGAAACCAAACTGATTGTAACAGAAAAATTACATGATATGGGAAGAACAGTTCCTACCCAGAACATGAACAATAAACTACTATGCTAGCCTAAAACAGAATCCAGATTATACTATGCCAGACCCTCTGCAATTTAATGAATATAAATCTCTAATTACTATTATAGCCTGGAGTTTACACGGAGACAACATAGTGAAAAATTCACTAGTCTCAAAAATGCATCTTATCCTCCCCTTATTTCTTCCTACAATGAGTCTCTTCAGACAACTGTAAGTTTGTTTGATGCTGACCCACTTACAGGAAGTTTGGACTAAAATGGGTAGGCATTATATCTTTCATTGCTCAAGAAAAAGATCATCCCCTTCAGAAAGATATGGAAAAAATCAGCTACAACGATGTAGGATAGTAAAAGAGAATTTATGTTTTATGATTCCTTTTATTACATTAAGATTTTCATACCTCAACCAGAAAGCTTTTAAATATTTATTATTTTACGGAGGGCAAGACTGACGTTCAATCCTTGTCTTACCTTCTGATACACTGGAAGTTCCATGGGTATAGGGGTGATCCAGTGGATGGAAGGTAGAAGGCGGGCTGTATGCCAGTTCTGGCTCTGGCTCAAAGGAAAGATTATCTGTTGAAGGGAATCAGAATTATACTGAGAGTTGTATACTGCTATGAATTATTTACACACACAGAATATCAACCCTATCGAACAAATACAGCTCTACTGCACTGACGTTCAATCCTTGTCTTACCTTCTGATACACTGGAAGTTCCATGGGTATAGGGGTGATCCAGTGGATGGAAGGTAGAAGGCGGGCTGTATGCCAGTTCTGGCTCTGGCTCAAAGGAAAGATTATCTGTTGAAGGGAATCAGAATTATACTGAGAGTTGTATACTGCTATGGATTATTTACACACACAGAATATCAACCCTATCGACCAAATACAGCTCTACTGCAAACACAGCAGTATATCCTATTAACAAAACTCCTATATCTCACTCCAATGTCCATACTAGTATTCAACGACTTATGCAGTCCATACAAGTCAGTATTTATTGATCTGTTAATACAGCAGACGGTGCATGGATCTGTTAATGTAACATCTGAACGACTTCTTGGAAAAAAGCTGAAAAACCCCACTGCCACCAAGTACAAAGATATAGAGTTGAGCTTTCCAGAGCTGCAGGATGCCATCAGGACAGGGTAAGCCATTACTTGTTCCAGTGTTTCTATAAGCTGTTCATATGAGAAATTACATACCCATGGAATTTCCATATGGACTTCTGTTTAGGACATTATCTCTCGGTAAACCTTCGCTGTATTCAAAGCTATGTCTCATGGAGGCCATTGGTATGGCCTGAGGATAATTCTGTCCTCTTCCACTGTGTTCTGTGTAGGAACCATGCAGTGAAGAATCATAAGGGCTTTGGTGAGAGAATAGATTCTTTTGAGAATTCCTCCTGTGTGAGCAACAAAAAGGAAAACCTTGAGTGCCACAAAAAACTCTCAATAGATATCGTTAATAAATTGTTACCTATTATCATCAAATTTGAGTACATTATAAAACAAATTCTGATATTGAGAGGTATTTTGTAGTTAAACTTCAACATCATAATTCCGATTTGGTCATCAACTGAATTAGAAAAACTAAAACTTTTCTCCACCTGAAGTTACCTTTGACTCTACCTAAAAAAGAACAACCACTTGGAAAATGAGGACATTCAAGGTTATAGCACATTGTGAAAATTACGGAACTAAAAAATATCCATGACATTATGCCATAAATCCTAAAATACATTTAACACCTAAATTCATCTAACATGTGAAAAGCAAACATGCCATTTCTCTTGAATGTCATCTTCCTGATAACAGCTTTAAAAATCTGTGTCTGAGAATGCAAGCATGAAGGGGGGGGATTAACAGAATTTCACAAATTAATACTCTGGAGAAAAAGTTTCCCCTGCATATAAATAGAAAATTTAATTTCTTATGGCACCATCACAACAGAAAAAATAAACTAACTCACCTTCTATCAATTTCCAGTGTCTCTGAGAAGTGGTAGTCTGGATTTTCAAAGGCTTCATTGTAATGATAAGACATGACAAGTCCTTGGTTTGAGGGATGAAATCTTCCTTATTTTTGTCTCTATTGCTTCATTAATATGTTCATGGGAAAACTGATTACAGACCTAATTACAAAATAGGTGCATGTAGATACAAAATTTAAAGAAAGGACGTTCATCTTAGCATCTTAGAAGATTTTTGCCACTCTGCTAACAACTAACATGAAACAATATAAACAGGAAATGGGTCTAACTTAGTGCTATTTACCATTGGGAAATTAGAGCCCACCAGAAGTTGCAGGTAAAATGGGAACTAATATTTCTCTATAGTAAGCTCTCTACAAAACTAGGGAACTGGAGTGCCACATGAAGTCTTCCCCAGCACTGACAACGAAGCCAGGTTTTAGGAGCATGTCAAAACATTAAGAAGAAGAAAATCCCCTCCCTGGAAGTGTTCAAAGCCAGGCTGGATGGGGCTTTGGGCAACCTGGGCTAGTGGAGGGTGTCCCTGCCCATGGCAGGGGGTGGGAACTAGATGGGCTTTGAGGTCCCTTCCAACCCAAACCAGTCTGGGATTCTATGACTTCATGTCTCAATCCTGTATATAGGTTTGGGTTTAGCTTTTTTCCCCTCACAGAGTGCTCCATTTTAGTCTTAAGCAAACCAGACTTCATCAGAGCAAGTCCAGGTAAGTCAGTGAAAAGGGAACCTTGTATTAGAAAAACAGAATCCAAATTAAACACGCAGTTCTTGCAATTAATCAAAAGTTATACTCAAAATTAAAAAGGAAGCAACTTTTAGCATTTGTTCTAAAAGGCACCATGCCAAATTTGATCAGCTCGCAAGATACTCAAGAACACGGAAGTAAAAAAACCCAACCAAACAATTAAGGACACATCTGGCAAAACCCATGAGACCCTGCTTTTATCTCAGCTTCACTCCTAGAAAAGCAGAGCTGCATCTTGTTTAATAGTACAGTCTCAACCAACTTTTCTGTCTGCAGTGGGTTTTATTTGCGATTTCTACTGCAGTAAAGCAAGCATCACATGAAGAAAAGTATCTTCAAAATGGATAATTGTACAGTGTCTAGTTTCTGAAGGCTTGTCAAAATCTTCTTGTTTTGCCAAAACAAGCTCTTAAATTACCTTTGTGTCACTTACTTACACACCTAAAGATCTTGGAGGACTGTCTAAAACCTTGCAGCATGACATACAGTTGTAAAACACTGCCCAGGTTTTGCACGCTGACTTGCAAAGAGATTTGAATATAAACATAGGTGATTGATTGATTGAATTCAAAGTCCTACATTTTAATCAGAACATTGTCTACACTTTCACTAATAGCATGATGAAGCATGCTATGAGGCCCAAGTCTTCAGCAAACATTCATAAAAAAGCATACCAGGCAATCTGAATATACGGTGCGTCACCCATCCCTTCCGTAAATAGTGGAAGGTGATTACTACCAACAAGAAACTATAAACATAGGTGCCCCTAAGTGAAACTTGTGCGGTTTTTTTCAGGCAACAATTTGACAACTACAGAGACAAAGTGAGATTCTCATGTATTTGGAAAAAGTAATTAGCAGAGCCTCCTCCCCTTATCTCCAAAGAAAATCAATAAACACCCCAAGAATCCAAGGCTCTTACATAAAAGTCATGGGAAGTTTAAATCTCCTGAGAGCTAAGTTTTCTTTGACAGGAACCACTTGATGATCTTCTGAGAACTAGCTTAGAACATATCTGAGGTTTTATACAAACTCTTCAGGAATTAGTACATTCTGTCTTTATACTCCATTAAAAAGCATGGAAACAATTCTTGAAAAAGGTAATTGTGGTCTTCTGCAAAGAGTTGCTTGGAAAACTAAATTTCCCCCTATAAAAGTGTTTTACATTTCAAACTGTAATGAAAAGCTAAAGAGGAAAAGATTAGTTTCTCAGGGGAAGAAAATTCTCAGATAACTCCCTTTGAAGAGTGTGCAAAATTACATTTTTCTATTTTTTTAACTGGTTTCCCAGGAACCCAAGCTCAGACTCAGCCATCCAGAAAGCTTGGAAGCCTGCCAGCAAGGCAGCTGGAAACCTGAGCACTGATCTAAACAGCTCGTCAACTTGCCTGGTCTTCATTCAAACTGTAGAGAGAATGGATATTTTGATCGAAACGTATGGGCTGTGTGGAACCAACATTCCCCAGAAGCAAGCTGGTAGGAAGCATCAACCAGCTCGATCAACCAAGTTGCTGCAGTGCAACCAATCAGAAGAAACAGATCAGCCTGACGAAAAAATACACCCATCACTTCTTTCTCTTATTTTAAAGACCTCTAGGCATATCCATAAATGTTTGCTAAGACCCTCAAATAAGCCCAAGACAGACTGTCTACTGGTTCCATCATTAACCACTTATTTCCTTTGAGTCTTAAGGTGCACTTTATGCCAAGATTTCTGTGAAAACCCACAGCACGTTTACAGTCTAACACTGAACCCAGCATCTGAAGCCACTCCGGTTTTTCTCCACTCCCAAAGTTTTAGGATTTTAAATAAAATCCTCATGGACACTGAGGCAAATTCAAATCTTTGCATTTCGGTCCTGAAAAAAACTAGAGATTTTCCTCTTGCTACCCGAGAGCATTAGATCCCAAACCTCGAGGCATATGGAGCGAGCAAGAACATGAACATGGATAACCTGTACGTTTCTTGACTGAGACTGTAGTCACTCAAAGATTACTATGCTACCTGGTACATAAATGCTGGAGGGCGAGATGGAGGTGTGTATGACCATACATGTATGAGTGTGTACAGGTGGCATGGCAATCTACCCACTTCCTCCATCCCAAGCCCCAAGATTGTGAGAAACTCTTCTTTTCAGATCAGATGCCATTATAGGTTTAGGGTTTGATGGACTGGCAGTTTATAAATTTCTGACTAGTCGTATTTCATTGGAAAGAACCAGAAGCAGGTAATGCTCAAGCTAAACCATCTCTTCTTTTTGACCTATGATCGGATGAAATAAACCATAGCTCCAGGAAAAGCTATGACATTCAGACTTAGCTTTCCCTTTAAAAAGTTATTTTCCAGAAAGAAAAAAAATAAAATAGCCGGAGAACAGAGGCCATTTGTGAAAGACAGAAAGTAGGAGCTTGACAAATCTTCCCCAAGCAGAGTGGTGTCCATTTGTTGGGCAACATTTTGGATTTCAGCAAGCAACAAGACAAAGCTTGTGTTCCTCCTCTGGAGAACAGAAGGGTGTAAGATCAATGGGTTTAATAATCATCGATATGTAAATAAGTTACAGGATACATGGAGAGTGGGTGCTTTCTGCTTAAATTATTTCACACACACTGTAATGACATAGAACAGGAAACTCCAAGCGGTGCAGACTCAGGCTTCTGGATCATTTCCCAGAAAAATAACTGCCTTCACGTCACAGACCAACAGCCTTGACAAAATATTCCAGGTTAGTTTCATCCATTCCTGTACAGGTAATTCTCTGCTATAGACACTAATCCTCATTTAGTATAGAAATCAAACAGGAATGTCTTGCTAAAATAGCACTTTCTCCTGGTATCAAGTTTCAGGAAAGACACTTAGACCTTCAAATCCTTTACCTGTAATCCCTCTGTGAAAAGGATTACATAAAGTAAATCCTACTTACACAAATCTTGAAGAGGAATGGAAACGGTAAGTTCCAGAACTACATCATAGTTGACTTAATAGTTTTCAATGAAGGGAATAGAACTCATGGAAGAACTGTTTCAGAAGGCTGAACGATCTTTTAGTTTTGTAGGGTATGACGGGACAGTGCTTCACTGTTACCTAAGTGATTTTTATTCATGAATCCCCGTCCTATATAACATGTTCCACACAGATTCATACTGAAAAAATCAGATTGATTTCTGGAAGCCAAAAGCAAGTTTGAGAGACAGACCAGAGTTAAAACTAGATTACATGCTGCATCAGCAACTAGGTTCCAGTACTGACCACTACTCTTCTACTGTCTCAATCCAGATAGTTTCAACACTGCTGCAACAAACCAGGAAAGCCTCTCAGAAAACCTAAAGAGCCTGTGAATTGACACCACAAACAGTGCACTTAAGAAAACCTGATCTTTAATTGACATATTAGCAATGAAACAAGCATGAATCATACAAGGAAGTTAACTTACCTCTCGTGCGTATTGCAAAAGAACCCAGCCTGCACTGACAAACACCACTTCTCACCAGCCTTCCACTGTGGTTTTATTGATGTCAGCAGGGCCCGTTACAGGAGCCAATGTCAACTTTGCTATGTTAGACCTTCAACCAATTTCAGCAATGTAAACTGTGCCTCTGCTACAAAAGATCTTCCCAGTGAAAGACGACATGGTGGCACTAAAGACACATCTGCTTACTATTGCATAGGCAGAGGACATACCACCAACTTGGGAAGGGAGAGAGTAACAGCATCCCCATTATGGTCGCAATGCTGCTGTCTCTCCCAACAGCTTGTTGGACCTTGAGCTCACAAAAGAGGGTATTTCCTAGTCCAGTAGTGCACTGCTGCCTACCAGAATTCAGATCCCATCCTCGTGTCCCCCCAGCCATCCTTGGTGAGAGCAGGGCGCAGAGAGCAGCCAGTCAGGCTGGTAGAAGCAGGCAAAATAGTGTCTGTCCGACATGGGGAACATCCTACTGTCAGACTCTCTGCTCTCAGCTGGCTGCTCCCCTTGCCTCCAGCTCCCGCTTCAGCGTCATGAGCTCTGCTCCTTATCTGCTCTTTATCCATTCTTTGCACCTACTCACTTGTTTGCCTTGTCCTTTCTATTTAACATTCCTCCTGTAATTTCCTCCTCCCACTCCCAGGTATAGTAAGACTACAATATTTTCATCCTGTTCACTTTCTTTGCAAGTTAAATCCCTTCTATCGCCTGTGGCTGCTTAGATTTGGAGAAGGACTGACAACTACTTCGTGTTTCCAGTGTCTCAAGCAGGAATCTACTTCTTCACCTAAGTTTAGATACCTTTATTACAAATATGCTCCTGAAACAGTCATAAAGTTGTTACA